AGCATATATGTGAACAGTACTTAGATAAAGGTAGGGAAGTTTTTATTGGATTTATGGATTTAGAAAAGGCATATGATAGAGTGGATAGAGGAGCAATGTGGAATAGGTGGTAAGTTACTAAATGCTGTAAAGAGCTTTTATGAGGATAGTGAGGCTCAGGTTAGGGTGTGTAGAAGAGAGGGAGAATACTTCCCGGTAAAAGTAGGTCTTAGACAGGGATGTGTAATGTCACCATGGTTGTTTAATATATTTATAGATGGGGTTGTAAAAGAAGTAAATGCTAGGGTGTTCAGGAGAGGGGTAGGATTAAATTATGGGGAATCAAATTCAAAATGGGAATTGACACAGTTACTTTTTGCTGATGATACTGTGCTTATGGGAGATTCTAAAGAAAAATTGCAAAGGTTAGTGGATGAGTTTGAGAATGATGTAAAGGTAGAAAGTTGAAAGTGAACATAGAAAAGAGTAAGGTGATGAGGGTATCAAATGATTTAGATAAAGAAAAATTGATATCAAAATTGGGGAGGAGGAGTATGGAAGAAGTGAATGTTTTCAGATACTGGGAGTTGACGTGTCGGCGGATGGATTTATGAAGGATGAGGTTAATCATAGAATTGATGAGGGAAAAAAAGGTGAGTGGTGCGTTGAGGTATATGTGGAGTCAAAAAACGTTATCTATGGAGGCAAAGAAGGGAATGTATGAAAGTATAGTAGTACCAACACTCTTATATGGATGTGAAGCTTGGGTGGTAAATGCAGCAGCGAGGAGACGGTTGGAGGCAGTGGAGATGTCCTGTCTAAGGGCAATGTGTGGTGTAAATATTATGCAGAAAATTCGGAGTGTGGAAATTAGGAAAAGGTGTGGAGTTAATAAAGCATTAGTCAAGGGCAGAAGAGGGGTTGTGAGGTGGTTTGGTCATTTAGAGAGAAGGATCAAAGTAGAATGACATGGAAAGCATATAAATCTATAGGGGAAGGAAAGAGGGGTAGGGGTCGTCCTCAAAAGGGTTGGAAAGAGGGGTAAAGGAGGTTTTTGGGGCGAGGGGCTTGGACTTCCAGCAAGCGTGCATGAGCGTGTTAAATAGGAGTGAATGGAGACGAATGATACTTGGGACCTGACGATCTGTTCGAGTGGGGAGCAGTGTAATATTTAGTGAAGGGATTCAGGGATACCGGTTTATTTTCATATAGTCGGACTTGAGTCCTGGAAATGGGAAAGTACAATGCCTGCACTTTAAAGGAGTGGTTTGGGATATTGGCATTTTGGAGGGATAAGTTGGTATCTTTATACGTATATGCTTTTAAACTATTTTATTCTGGGCACCTCTGCAAAAGCAGTGATAATGTGTGAGTGTGGTGAAAGTGTTGAATGATGATGAAAGTATTTTCTTTTTGGGGATTTTCTTTTTTTTTTGGGTCACCCCGCCTCGGTGGGAGACGACCGACTTGTTGAAAAAAAAAAAAAAAAAAAAAAAAAAAAAAAAAAAAAAAAAAAAAAAAAAAAAAATTAGTTATTCTTAACACAAAGAACATTACTGGTATTAGTAGAACTCTTAATCATACCCACAAGTAGTTAAAACTACTAATTAGATACAGCAACTGAGTGTTGGCGAATGTGTTTTCTTCGTTAGAATTCCTGCCGACACATGAGTGGGACAGTCATGTGTAGATGAAAGTACAGATTACTCCACATATAACCTCTCATCACTTAGTGACGTACTTGTTTACCAACAACTCGAACTTATGACAGGCTTTCTGACCAGTATGCATACCTCAATAATGTACATATATTAGAGCTGATTTCCTCTATTCTGCTTATTACAATATACAGTACACTACTGTATAAGCATTAAAAAAAATAAAAAAAAATGTTATATTGGTGAAAAGGGTTACATTAAAACAATATCAAAGAGGGTTTGACACAAACCCATACCATTTTTTGCTCCTTGCTTGCGACAATTTGTTTAACGAGTAGTTTGGGAATGCAACACCATCGTTAATGAGGAGAGGCTGTACTTTTGTGGCACCCCAAGTGTTGATTGTATAGAGGGGGCACCATTGTATAGCAGGTTAGGTCTTGACTACCACTGCAAAGTGAACAAGCCCCCTCTTTTTTTCCACTTTTAAAACCCTTTTTTTTTAAAACTTTCAAATGCATTAAAACCCTATAACATGTTTTAACTTCTATATTAAATGGAAAATATACTGGGCCAAAAAAATGATTACAATCACCAAACTTTAACCCTTTAAATGTCGGGGCCCGTATATATACTTTTACGAGGGTACCGGTTTTTGCGTACATGGCCCCCGCATCCCGCACCATCGCATACCGTAAAACCCGCAACAGCTCGCTTTTTTCGCAAAAATTTTGCCTCGCATACCGCCCAAAAACCCGCTCACCGCCTTCGTCCGAGACGGTCCAATGTGGGGCCCTGAGCCACGCTCACATGTTCCGCCGGGTGGCATTGTTTACCAGCCAGCCCCCGGGGTAACATCCAAGCTACAATGGAACATTTTGTATTATTACAGTGTTTTTGGTGATTTTTTTCTGGAAAAAAAGGGGACCAGGGGCCCCCAAGAAGCTTCTAGTGCCAAACCCTCAGCAAAAAGGGGAGAATTACTTTAAAATGAAGAAAAAGATCATGATAAGTATGAAAGTGGAGTGGTGTCCCGGTGGCCGGGTTGTATAAAAACCCCAATCAACCATCGCTACTATTGGGGGTACAGCTGCTGCTGCTGTTGTACCACCGTCAGCTGCTGCTGTTTGTTGTACCACCGTCAGCTGCTGCTGCTGCTGTAGTACCGTCTGCTGTGCTGTAGCATCGTCTGTGCTGCTGTAGCATCGTCTGCTGCTGCTGTAGCATCTTTCTGTTGCTGCTGTAGCATCGTCTGCTGCTGCTGTAGCATTGTCTGCTGCTGCTGTAGCATCGTCTGCTGCTGCTGTAGCATCGTCTGCTGCTGCTGTAGCATCGCCCTGCTGCTGCTGTAGCATCGTTTGCTGCTGCTGTAGCATCGTCTGTTGCTGCTGTAGCATCGTCTGTTGCTGCTGTACCACTGTCAGCGGGCTGCTGCTGCTGTAGCACCGTTGTTGGTGTGGCTTATTGAGAATACCAAGAAACAATTAACCCCAGAGGATTTGCCACCCAGGATAACCCAAAAAAGTCAGTGTCATCGAAGACTGTCTAACTTATTTCCATTGGGGTCCTTAATCTTGTCTCCCAGGATGAAACCCACACCAGTCGACTAACACCCAGGTGAACAGGGAAAAATGCCGGAACTAGTGTCATATTGGTGAATTTTAAACCCAGCAAAGGTTGGTTTGAGAGTTTAAGAATCGTTAGTGCATACACAGTGTGATAAGGCCTTTTCTGGAAGAAAATGCCAAACAGGCCCTTTCAGTACTCAGGAGGAAAAGGCACTCCCAGGACACGTGTCTCATCAGTCATTGCTGCATCTTCAATAAAGGTAATTTGTCATTTATTCTTCATTTAGTAGAGTAGTACATGCACAATATATATTGTGCATGTACTACTCTACTATTGTGCATGTATCCTTCTCTTTGTGTGTAGGAAAATGTATATTTCATGTGGTAAAATTTTTTTTTTCATACTTTTGGGTGTCTTGCACGGATTAATTTGATTTCCATTATTTCTTATGGGGAAAATTCATTCGCATACTGAACATTTCGCATAACAATCAGCCCTCTTGCACGGATTAAAGTCGCTATGCGGGGGTCCACTGTATATCTACTCATAAATTCTAGCGGCTTCAAATCAGGCAGGAGAAAGCTGGTAGGCCCACATGTGAGAGAATGGGTCTGTTTGGTCAGTGTGCACCAAATAAAAAAAATCCTGGAGCACGCAGTACATAATGAGAAAGAAAAAACTCCGACCGTTTTTTTTAATTAAAATGCCGACTTTGTGGTCTATTTTCGTATAGTATTTGTGGTTGTATTCTCGTTTTCTTGGTCTCATTTGATAGAATGGAAACTATATTATAGAAATAGAGGTGATTTTGATTAATTTTACTATAAAAAGAACCTGGAAATGGAGCACAAAGTACGGGAAATGTTTGATTTTTGCCGATGTTCAAAAGTAAACAAATGTGTCATTGTCCAATAAATGTCCAAAAGCCATTCTTTAAAATGCAGTCATGAGTGGGTTGATGTAATTTTTACAAATTTTTACGTAGTCTGCATAACAGTAAATCTTCTATTTTTTGTTTGAAAAAATTTCAAAATAAAAAGCAAGAGTAATATCACAAGGGGCCCGGAGACATGACTGATGAACGAAGAAAATGTTATTTTAGAGCCAGGAAAGTCTGCATTGTTTTATTCTGGTCCTTATTTTGAAATTGTCATATTTTTTAATTTTCGTGAAATTGGCCAAATTGCAAATTTCTGACCATGTTATTGGGTAGTTGAAATTGGTAAATGGGCAGTTTCTTGTACTCAATCGATGGAAAAAATGGAGTTCTGAAGAAATAGCTATGAGTTTGGTTGACTGGAATAATGGAATTAGCCGAAAATAGGGCTCAAAGTGGGCGAAATTGCCGATTTGTAAATATTGCCGAGGTCGCTAATTTCGCGAGAGCGTAATTCCGTCAGTTTTCCATCAAATTTCGTTGTTTTGGTGTCTTTACAATTGGGAAAAGATTCTCTATCATTTCATAAGAAAAAATAATTTTTTTTTTTTAAATTTTGCGACACCAGGAGACACCTCAGGATTGGGGGTTGCGACAGTCAAAGGGTTAAAATAGTTTCGTCCTTAGCTTATAGTGAGTGGTGAATATATTTATTGTAGGGAGTCTGAATAAATGAAGAATAATTGAACACTAATGCATTAGAGAAATGCTGTAAAGTGGGGCCTGCCTGTATATGCAGTAGGGAAATAAAATCACATAATACCATGCATGCTTATATACTTTACATATTATTCATTACTTCACAACAAAATATAAGATAAATCTAGAAAAAGAATACCTACATGACCTCTACTGACCTTAACCAATTTGTAGGCTTTTGAAACCCTGGGTATAAATTCAGTTAGCGGGGAAACGAGGCTGGTGAAAGAAACACTATTGCAGATGCTTCCAGCAATTAATGCCACAGTGCTGAAGGGCACACCTGAAAATTTTTTTGTAAAATATAATAAAATTATCCGTATTTAATTTCAGTTCTTTCAGTAGGTTCTATTTGAGGATAATTATAACAAAAGACAAGTCAGTATTCCATCTTTGCATACTCAAAACAGTTAACTACAATTATAATTTGCTTACCCTGTGCAAAAATAATAAGTTATTCAATCACTTTTTATATTAAAACAAGAATAATTATTTCATGAATCGAGGAATTTTTAAAAAAAAATAATTGTTACCTGCTTGAACAACATTCACTTCTATTGTAATGGAGTGGCTGTGAAGTTCTTGAGCTGAAATCTGTATTGGCTCAAAAGTCATCTGGTATTGTTGAAGTGGACTTTCACCTTCTGGTACCAACAGCTGAGTTGTTTCTGTCTTCAGTGATTTACAGCTGTATGATAAAATTCCTGAGCAATTTACAGTTGAACCCTCATTAAATATTGGAATCTCGCACACACCTGTGGGAAATATTTATTTGTAATATGGCCCTCTACATACTACTGTCCAACTTAAAATATTAACTACCTCTATCACTCACACTGCACCAAAAACTTCCCATTAAGGTTTTGCATGTGATGTGGGTTATTTGTTGGCTATGTTGGAAATAAAGCCTTTTGGACAGGTACACATACCTGAGATTTCTCTCATCTTTCTAAGCCTATACAGTGGTTATTGCTTTTTGTGCTGCTGGATGTAGTGATTGGCAAGAAAATAAGTCAATTCTAACACTGATTTGAAAGACAAATAAGGATTTCTGCTGTGAGGCAGAAAGACTAGGAGTCAAGAGAAGCAATCAGTTCAAGTGATGCTGAAGTGCTCTTCATCCAAGGATTTGGAGCTACCCTTCTTTTCCTCAGATCAAACTTGATTACCTCCTATTTCCCAGGAGCTGCATGATTATTATTGAAGATTGAGACACTTATGCAACATATGGGAATCTTTATTAAGGAAATGTTTTGCCACACAGTGGCTTCATCAGTCCAATACAAAGCAGAGAGGGGTAAGGAGAGGAAGAGTTTGAGGTAATCAGTTCCTCAGCCTGGAATCAATGTGTTCAGTCCATCTCTCTTGTAGAAAGTAGAGCATATGGTCAGAGAAGTGGCTTATATACTGTAGACAGGTGAGTCGAAGCAGGAGGAAGCGGGATCACAGTGGAGCCATCCACTAGTGTAAGTAGGTCTTTGTCCAAAGGTTGGACAAGTATTGAAGAATTCCTTGTATCAAGTTCCATGAAGTTGCAGTGTCTGACAGATGTGATAAATGGAACCATTTATCACATCTGTCAGACACAACTTCAAGGAGCTTGATACAAGGAATTCTTCAATACCTGGACCGAACACATCAATTCCAAGCTGAGGGACTGATTACCTCAAACTCCTCCTCTCCTTACCCTTCTCTGCTTTGTATTGGACTGAAGAAGTCACTGTGTGGCAAAATATTTCCTTAATAAAGATTCCCATATGTTGCATGTCTCAATCTTCAACTTGTCGGTTTTCAAACCAGTTATCACATCATTATTATTATTTTATTTTATTATTTTATTATCACACTGGCCGATTCCCACCAAGGCAGGTTGGCCCGAAAAAGAAAAACTTTCACCATCATTCACTCCATCACTGTCTTGCCAGAAGGGTGCTTTACACTACAGTTTTTAAACTGCAACATTAACACCCCTCCTTCAGAGTGCAGGCACTGTACTTCCCATCTCTAGGACTCAAGTCCGGCCTGCCAGTTTCCCTGAACCCCTTCATAAATGTTACTTTGCTCACACTCCAACAGCACGTCAAGTATTAAAAACCATTTGTCTCCATTCACTCCTATCAAACACGCTCACGCATGCCTGCTGGAAGTCCAAGCCCCTCGCACACAAAACCTCCTTTACCCCCTCCCTCCAACCTTTCCTAGGCCGACCCCTACCCCGCCTTCCTTCCACTACAGACTGATACACTCTGGAAGTCACTCTGTTTCGCTCCATTCTCTCTACATGTCCGAACTCAAGCACAAAAACCAATGGATTATTATGAAATGTTTTGGATGAACGTGTAGAGTAATGCTCACTGAACGAGTAACAAAGGCAAACCGAGTCATGAATGTATGAGTGGCCGTGTCCTGTGGGCAGGTGGACGTGCCTGGTATGGACAATTTCCAAGTAATGTACGAAAACGGGAAAAATTTTGCCAAAAAAAAGTGGTCGAAAACTGAATTGTACAATAACCAGACCGGACAAAAACTGGGGTTCACTGTAGTACAATAATCATAATAATAACCGATGGTTAATGGTAACCCATGGATATAGGTGGGTAATATATGGAGAGGTTATCAATTATGCACCGGTAGGTGATTAAATTTATAATTGTTTCCATTTATGAGAAGACAGCTCATATAATTGGAGTAAGTAGTTGGCAAGTCTTGGAAAAAGATAGGTACAGTATAGCCATTGCAGACCTTTTACTAAATGTGGCTTTCCACCTACAAGATGCTTTATAAAGTACTTGATAAAGTTTACTACAGGTAAAATTTTGTATTTAATAAAAGATCTCCTTTTGCTAAACTGTATGTTTTTGTCTACCATCCACAGGTACCTGCCAGATGTAGACTTATTACCCAACTAATATGTATCAAGGGTTTTGTAGGATTTCACATCCTTTCCAATGTTTGAAGAGATACTGTTTTTTTTTTTTTCAACAAGTCGGCTGTCTCCCACTGAGGCAGGGTAACCCAAAAAGAAAGAAAATCCCCAAAACGAAAATACTTTCATCATTCAACACTATTCATGTAGTGATAACAATCATGAATTTATTGCATACCTGGTCAGCACAAGTTCCAACAGATTCATGTCCAATACTACTAAGTGTAAATCGGCTGGCTTAAGTCGCATTACTTCAAAACACTAATATTGTATCTGCTAATAATACATTTTAGATACTTAACATCTTTGAAAACTTTATATACAGGAAGTGTCTCAAAACACTACTAACTATAATCATAACCATAATTTTTAAAGGAGTATACGGGTAAGCCAGGGAAAGGCCTCAGTCAAATGCCCAAAATCTCCAGGTGTGGGTCATCAAATGGCTAAGACCCGCATGAGGAAACACTTGTCCTGTTTCCTGACAAACCTTACTTAACCTATCTCTGAATGGAAAAAAATAAACACAGATTATTGATTATCCAGTAATAGGTCCTTCGGTTTCCAATATTATTCAAGTATCTTGTTTGATCTGGCACATAAACAGATAATGCAAAATAATGAAACATGCAAAAACAAAGAAGTTACAAAAAAATGTCATCTGGTGCTGCTGAAAACTGGGTGCACCTTTTCTATCCTGAAGGCATCAGATAATCAATGATCTGTACTACCAGTAATAAAAATTACCCTTTACAATACTAATAAAAAGTTACCTAGAACACAAGCCCTCTTTTTGGGTCTGAGAACTGGTGGTTCCAGTTTTTCTATAGTAACTTTAGACTCTAGCAGTGATCCATCTGCTGCTTCGTCAGCCTTAGCTTGCCTACGTTGAACTATCTTCAAGACGAGAGATGTATAAGATAAAATGCTTGCTCCAGTTGTCACCTGTAATATTAGCTGAGGACTGCATACTAATAATCTGCCATAAATACAAAAAACAGAAAACATCAGCTTGTGTCTATTAAGGGATGTAAATTTCGATGTACAGTTTTTAACATTAACTAAGGTTTATTTATGCAATTAAGCTTTTTTAAGAGGATTAAATTATTGCCATTTAAAAATAGTTTTAATAAGAAAGAAAGATCTACTTGGAGTGATAAATAAAAAATTTTAAATAATTTTCATTAAAGAATGTACACAGAAAACATGATAAATGTACAAATAAATCCCATAATTCACAGAAGTTAGATTCATGGAAATAATGTAAATATGGAAACCCCCAAATAGGGTTCATGTGCCAAGCAAAAACAAGATAATGGAAACCAAGAAAAAACTGTAAAAAATGAGAATACTGGAGTTCAACTGTACTGTTTTCTGTGTATTTTAATGAGAAATATTTTAAACTTTTGATTAGTTCTGATGTCAGTGAAGGGCTCCTGATACAAGAAATTGGACCTATCCTTCCTTTGTATCAAACCTGATTCTCTCCTATTTGTCAGGCAATCTATGACCCTTGTAGGTTTAGTGCTCCCCACTGATAATAATAATAATAATAATATTTATTATTAATTATTATTAACACACTGGCCGATTCCCACAAAGGCAGAGTGGCCCGAAAAAGAAAAACTTTCACCATCATTCGCTCTATCACCGTCTTGCCAGAACAGTGCTTTACACTACAGTTTTTAAACTGCAACATTAACACCCCTCCTTCAGAGTGCAGGCACTGTACTTCCCATCTCCAGGACTCAAGTCCGGCCTGCTGGTTTCCCTGAATCCCTTCATAAATCTTACCGTGCTCACACTCCAACAGCACGTAAAGTATTAAAAACCATTTGTCTCCATTCACTCCTATCAAACACGCTTACGCATGCCCGCTGGAAGTCCAAGCCCCTCGCACACAAAACCTCCTTTACCCCCTCCCTCCAACCTTTCCTAGGTTGACCCCTACCCCGCCTTCCTTCCACTACAGACTGATACACTCTTGAAGTCACTCTGTTTCACTCCATTCTCTCTACATGTCCGAACCACCTCAACAACCCTTCCTCAGCCCTCTGGACATCAGTTTTGGCAATCCCACACCTCCTAACTTCCAAACTACGAATTCTCTGCATTATATTCACACCACATATTGCCCTCAGACATGACATCTCCACTGCCTCCAGCCTTCTCCTCGGTGCAACATTCGTCACCCATGCTTCACACCCATATAAGAGCGTTGGTAAAACTATACTCTCATACATTCCTCTCTTTGCCTCCAAGGACAAAGTTCTTTGTCTCCACAGACTCCTAAGTGCACCCCTCATCAATTCTATGATTCACCTCATCTTTCATAGACCCATCCGCTGACACGTCCACTCCCAAATATCTGAATACATTCACCTCCTCAATATTCTCTCCCTCCAGTCTGATATCCAATCTTTCATCACCTAATGCTAAATTACAGTATTAAAAAGAATTATAACATTTAATTTATCAGGGTTGGTGATTTGTGTTAGGTTATATTTTCTTAAATGGCTATAATTTTAATGTGTATAAACAAACTATAGAGAATATCACAGTACACATTCACCAAAGGCCTACTTTTTTGCCACAATAACCAAGTTACTGCCTGCTACACTGTACCAAGAATATATTCTAACCCAGATCTTCTTTTCAAATCTCACTGTTCATAATTTAAAAGCTTTAAAACAAGTGCTATACTTAAAATAGTAGTTTCTACACAATTCATCTAGAATAAAAATTTGACACCTGAGAAGGAGAATGAGCTGAGGCTCTGAAATCCCATATGTTGGAGGAAGATCTTACCTATAATCAATTCAAACACTAGAAAAGCTAATAGATCCTATACATTAATAAACTAAAAGAAAACTGATGAATAACTTTTAAATTACCTGTCAGCATTATTTATAATGTTAAGACCAATGACCCACTTGTCATGAACAACCTTGTGCCTCACGTTAAGGATCGTCACACATGACAATGGAGGTTTGGGAGCTGCAATTTTCATTTCTCTCTTCTCTATGTCATCACTACTTTCTATAGTTAATACTGCCATCAAGTTCTTTGGAAGAGGAAAAAAATGTTACACACATAAATACCTAGAAACCATTTAAATATTAATAATAAAAGACAAAAGTGATTAGAATGGCAAACAGCCAAGGAGGAAACAAGATTGCATGAACTTGAACATGCAAAGGAAATAGCACAGTATCATTAGTATGTCAGATTTAAAAAATGAACTGTAAGCAATGTCAATGAAGTTCTGCAAGAATTTTATTTTACATCATGTGAAATAAGAAATGCTAACACTTATCCCCAGAAAACTTACATTTTCATCTAAGTCATGAAGTCCCTGAAGCTGTGACTGTAAGGTTGCCAGCTTTTGAGTAATGAAATTTTCTTTCATCCTTCTTTGTGAGTTCAGCTTCTCTGTATATCTTATGCCATCCTATAATTTTTACATTATTATTATTATATTTATGGAGAAGCGTTAAATTCATAAGGGTAGCACAGCAACAGAGAAATGGGAGGTAATCAGGTTTGATCCAAGTAAAGAGAGGGGTATCTCTAATTTCTTGGATGATGAGCACTGAAGGAATTTTTTTTCATATTATTTGTCAGGTAATATTTGTCAATCCTTTAAGTAGCTTTTTTAATACATGTATTTGACTCAACAAAAAGAATTTTGAATCATGGGTATAAAATACTGAAAAGTTGAGGAAAAAGACATGCAACAGCTGGGTATCTTTATCGAGAGATGTTTCTCTCACCTGGGCCTTCATAGTTGGAGACAGTAGTTGAAGTAGTAGTCATATGTGGGCAGGTCCACTAGTGGAATCAGGTCTGGCCTATAAATTTGGCCAGAGATTTAGCAATGACATTGTAAACATATCCTCTAGTTATAAATAATGAAGCTAGTGCTTAACATGACTCACGAAATCGTAATGACACGATTGCAAACAAACCATACCCCGGCCGGGATTGAAACCGCGGTCAGAGAGTCTCAAAACTCCAGCCTGCCGCGTTAGCCATTAGACCAGTGTAGTAGTGTAGTGTGTAGAAATATACCTAGTTGGACGAATCTTATTGTGGCTAGCTGGTCTACTGGCTAACGCGACGGGCTGGAGTTTTGAGACTCTCTGACCGCGGGTTCAATCCCAGCCGGGGTATGGTAAGCTAGTGCTTAATCTAGCACTGCTGCATCACTCCACTTCTGTCACTATTCAAGGCTCCATTCTGATGCCTCTGTATTATACTGATAAATCTCCTGATGTGTGGAACCTCACTCAGTAAAGATACCCTGGTGTTGGACATGTTACACTGATAAAGCTCCTGATGTGTGGAACCTCACTCAGTAAAGATACCCTGGTGTTGGACATGTTACACTGATAAAGCTCCTGATGTGTGGAACATCACTCAGAGTAAAATTCATGAAAATTAGACATATTGTACCTTCAAGCGTCGTGCTAGTGATTCCACTGCATCACTCTTTCCCTTTTGTCCTTCTTCCTGCAATTTATCTTCAGTGGCATACAGAGTTATCAGTTCGGTACTAGATATGGTCGTAACCTCTCCTGTAGACACGGATTCAATTCTATGTTAAAATCATAGGATGATCTGTAATTTAATAATTTTGCAAGGATACACTGAACACCCATAACATTAATAAACTGTAGTTTATAACAATAACAAATGAATGCAGAGAATTCTCATTTATTAGATTTGGAAAAATAACATGATTAATAAAAATATTACACAAAAGTCATTTTTGTGACATGGATCAAACTCTTAACCATTTCATTGTCCAGACCTCCAATCTAAAACTTGTCTGCAACATCCAAGAAGTTTCAATGATTTTTTTTTTTGTTATTTTTTCTTACAAAATGGCAGGGAATCTTTTTGTTCTTTTTGAAGGTAATAAAACAAAATGTACGAAATTTGATGGAAAACTGATGAAATTACGCTTTTGCAAATTTTGCTGTCAGTGATATTTATGCAGTGGCAATTGTGTCCACTTTGAGTCTTATTTTAGGTCAATTACATTGTTACAGTAGACCAAATTCTTAGCTATTTTGCTAGTATGTCTTCCATTTTATTGATTGAGCACAACTCCCAATAAAGTGATCAGAAATTAGTAATTTGGCCAATTTCACACAAATTTCAAAATATTCCAGTTTCAAAATAGGGTCTAGAATAAACAATGCAGGCATTCCTGGCACTAAACCAACATTTCCTTTGTTCATTAGTTACATTCCCAGGCTTTACATATGAATTCCATTTTGATTTTTTACTCACACAAAAAAACAAAAGATTTACTGTTATGCAATACTGTAATAATTGTATGAATAATACCAGTGAATTCATGAATGCATATTAGACCCACCAGTTGGATGTACAATATTGGGTAAGTGACGTAATTTGTTTACTCTTGAGTATCAGCAAAAAATCAAACATTTCCACTTCTTTGAGCTCAATTTCAAGCTATTTTCAGTCTTGAAACCAATCAAAATCATCTCTATTTCTATATCTTCCATTCTATCAAATGAGACCAAGAAAGAGAGAATACAACCATAAAAATCATATGAAAATACACCGTACAGTCGCTGTTTTAAACCAAAAACACTGTTGTAGCCTTTTTTTCTCATTATGCACTGCGTGCTGCAAGATTTTTTTATATGGTGCACACTTACTGCATAAACTTATTCTCTCATATCTAGGCCCAAATTTACTGCTCACAGCTTATCTGAGTGAGTTGAGCTCATGGCATAGTACTAAGGCACTGACAATGACCTCAAATCCATAGTACTATGGCACAGACAATAAGGGTGTGTAGAAGAGAGAGAGACTACTTCCCGGTAAAAGTAGGTCTTAGACAGGGATGTGTAATGTCACCATGGTTGTTTAATATATTTATAGATGGGGTTGTAAAAGAAGTAAATGATAGGGTGTTCAGGAGAGGGGTGGGATTAAATTATGGGGAATCAAATTCAAAATGGGAATTGACACAGTTACTTTTTGCTGATGATACTGTGCTTATGGGAGATTCTAAAGAAAAATTGCAAAGGTTAGTGGATGAGTTTGGGAATGAGTGTAAAGGTAGAAAGTTAAAAGTGAACATAGAAAAGAGTAAGGTGATGAGGGTATCAAATGATTTAGATAAAGAAAAATTGGATATCAAATTGGGGAGGAGGAGTATGGAAAAAGTGAATGTTTTCAGATACTTGGGAGTTGACGTGTCGGCAGATGGATTTATGAAGGATGAGGTTAATCATAGAATTGATGAGGGAAAAAAGGTGAGTGGTGCATTGAGGTATATGTGGAATCAAAAAACTTTATCTATGGAGGCAAAGAAGGGAATGTATGAAAGTACAGTAGTTCCAACACTCTTGTATGGGTGTGAAGCTTGGGTGGTAAATGAAGCAGCGAGGAGACGGTTGGAGGCAGTGGAGATGTCCTGTCTAAGGGCAATGTGTGGTGTAAATATCATGCAGAAAATTTGGAGTGTGGAAATTAGGAAAAGGTGTGGAGTTAATAAAAGTATTAGTCAGAGGGCAGAAGAGGGGTTGTTGAGGTGGTTTGGTCATTTAGAGAGAATGGATCAAAGTAGAATGACATGGAAAGCATACAAATCTATAGGGGAAGGAAGGCGGGGTAGGGGTCGTCCTCGAAAGAGTTGGAGAGAGGGGGTAAAGGAGGTTTTGTGGGCGAGAGGCTTGGACTTCCAGCAAGCGTGCATGAGCGTGTTAGATAGGAGTGAATGGAGACGAATGGTACTTGGGATCTGACGATCTGTTGGAGTGTGAGCAGGGTAATATTTAGTGAAGGGATTCAGGGAAACCGGTTATTTTCATATAGTCGGACTTGAGTCCTGGAAATGGGAAGTACAATGCCTGCACTTTAAAGGAGGGGTTTGGGATATTGGCAGTTTGGAGGGATATGTTGTGTATCTTTATACGTATATGCTTCTAAACTGTTGTATTCTGAGCACTTCTGTAAAAACAGTGATAATGTGTGAGTGTGGTGAAAGTGTTGAATGATGATTAAAGTATTTTCTTTTTGGGGATTTTCTTTCTTTTTTGGGTCACCCTGCCTCGGTGGGAGATGGCCGATTTGTTGGAAAAAAAAAAAAAAATCATAATAATTAACAATACACTGTTAAATATTACTGGAAGGTCTAGGAATTATAACTCATAGCTATATATTTTTTTATAACATTGACCGTCTCCCACCAAGGCGGGGTGACCTGAAAAAGAAGAAACAAATGTTTTCTTTCTTTTTACATTTAGAAATTTATAAAGGGGAAGGGGTTACTAACCCCTTGCTAACTCATACCTATATAGGAACATAAAAATAGTGTCCAAACAAGATATGTACTACTGATACTATTCCTTAGTGCAGGCTATCAACACATATTTATAACAAAAAAAGGCACAATACCGTGACTGGAACGATACACAAATAACCTGCACATAAAAGAGAGAAGCTTACGACGACGTTTCGGTCCGACTTGGACCATTGACAAAATCACACTAACCAGAAGTGGAGCAGGACGGCTATATATAAGCAGGAAGAGGTGGTGGTAGTAGTAGTAGTAGTACAAGAATGGTATATAATACCGACAAGATGAAATTAAGACACATGCGCAACACCCGGGCATCCCTATCGTAGACGTTTCACCATCCAGCCAGCCACTGGATGGCGAAACGTCCACAACAAAGACAACCAGACGCCGCACATGTGTCTTAATTTCATCAGTAGTTGTAGTAGTAGTAGAAGAGGTAGTAATAGTGGTAGTGGTAGAAGTGGGAAATAAGGAGGATGAGCCAGTCAAATACAAAGGAAGGGGAGCACTGCAAGAGAGCTAGGTGCCCACTGAGGGAGAGCAAGCGCACAGAGGTGCGTGAAAGGGGAAGTGGTGAAATAAATGAAGAAGGAACAGAAACACGAGACAGAAGAGAGAAAGACAACCCAGAGGAGAAAAGGAAAGAGGAAAGGGGAAGAGGGAGAAGAAGAAAAAAAAAAAAAAATGAGGAGTCAGGTTAAGTCACGGGTGTTCTGAAGTTTGGAGCATTTTACAATGTAGTGGGAGAGGAAGGCATCTACAGAGACGAAACCAGGGCTAAGGTTCATACAAGGAAAGTTGTGTATTAGAGAGGATTCAACTAGACGGCAACTGTTCGAGTTGGAAGTAGGGAAGACAGTTTTAGCAGAAGACCAGTCAATAGGATGGCTATGATCTCTGATGTGACAGAAAAGAGCATTGTTAGTGTCGGCAAGCCTAACACTATTTTTGTGCTCCCTAAGTCTGTCAGAAAGAGATCGACCAGTTTCTCCGAAGTATTGAAGAGGACAGGAGGAGCAAGAAATAGAGTAGACACCAGGAACATCTGTAGAGGGAGGAGAGGTATGAACGAGATTAGTGCGAAGAGTGTTAGTCTGGTGGAAGGTAAGCTTGATGTCTAAGGGACAGAGAGAATTGTTGAGATTAGAAAGACCGGAAATGTAGGGAAGGCAGAGGACAGAAGAGTTCCCAGGAGTAGAGAGTTTGGGAGAGAAGAAATTGCGTTTAGCACATGAGAGGGCAGAGTCTATGAAATGGGAAGGGTAGCCAAGACAGGAAAACGAATTAAGAAGAGTGGATGTCAATGGTCCAAGTCGGACCGAAACATCGTCGTAAGCTTCTCTCTTTTATGTGCGGGTTATTTGTGTAACACATATTTAACTCTTATGGTTTAAATACCAGCATGAATTTCAAACTTATCCTATTCAAAACACTAATTTGTCATATTTAATCAACAAATATTATTTTGCAATTAAATTTCAAGAACAACTGAACAATTTCGACCAACAATCTAGGGATTATTGATGCTCAGTAATACATACTGTACTTCTAAAATAAAATCAACTGTCAGTAAAGTTTGTAAATTTTAATTTTAAGTACAGTATTTTCTATGTTCACTGTCAATTACTGGAATTAAAACAGCACAATTATTGTACAAATGCTACACATTATAAATCTTTAAAGTATTTGAGTTAGAAATCACTTACCATTAAGCTGAAGCAGCCTTAAATGAGGAACACCAATGGCCTGTGGGTCTTCAGAGCTAATGTCAGCGATGTTCTCCCATTCATGAAGGGTCTGAGAAATTTAACCATACCTTATTCATCAAGCACAATGTTGTACATAAATCACATGCACATATGAGATTTCAACTCATTAGGCATAAGTGCAGCTGGCATGACAAAAAATTACAGTGGACCCCCGGTTATCAGCCGTAATCTGTTCCAGAAGGCTGGCCGATAACCAAAATGGCCGAAAACCGAATTAATGTTTCCCATAATAATTAATGGAAATGCAATTAATCCGTTCCAAACAAAAATATTCACAAAAAAATATTTTTTTAACAATTATGTAAATATTTTATACCTTTATTGAAGGCTAATGATGGCTTCTGGAAGATAGGGAAGAGGAAAGAGGGAAGCATTAGTGTTTGGAAGGGGAATCCCCCTCCATAAAGACTTAAGGTAGCAAAGCCTTCTTTGGGGTCACTTCCCTTCCTTCTCTTTTAATGCCACTAGGACCAGCTTGAGAGTCACTGGACCCATGTCTCACAAAATAACTGTCCAGAGTGCTCTGTTTCTGGCATCTCATTAAGATTTCCCTGAAGTGGGATGGTTTTGTCACTAAACATGTTGCAGATATGGCTTGTGTCAGCTTTGTCAGGGTGGTGTTTCTCTACAAAAGCTTGCACCCTAGTCCACATTGCACACACCTCTTTAATATCTGAAGAAGGCACTTCCTTCACTCCCTCTTCCTCCCCTTTTGAAGCAAGTTCCTCAGCTGCAGTCTGCTGCTGTTCAAGTTGAAGCTCTTGCAGCTCTTCAGTGGTTAGCTCTTCCCTGTGGTCCTCCACCAACTCTTCCACATCCTTGCCACTCACCTCCAACCCCAGGGACTTCCCCAGTGCCACAATAGAGTCCACAGGGTCAGCCTCAAACCCTTCAAAATCCCTCTCTTGGACACAATCTAGCCACAGTTTTCTCCAAGCAGAGTTCAAAGTCCTGGAAGTCACTCCCTCCCAAGCCTTGCCTATAAAGCTTATGCACTAATGCAGCGGTTTTCAATTGTTCCCTTTGTTCATTTATTCAGACTTCCAACAATAAATATATTCACTGATCACTATAAGCTAAGAACAAAAACAATTTAAGGTAAGTAATGTGAGTACTGTATATGCATTTTTTAGGCCTAGCTCTATTGCTCATTTTTTTTTTTCAACAAGTCGGCTGTCTCCTACCGAGGCAGGGTGACCCAAAAAGAAAGAAAATCCCCAAACAGAAAATACTTTCATCATCATTCAACACTTTCACCTCACTCACACATAATCACTGTTTTTGCAGAGATGCCCAGAATACAACAGTTTAGAAGTATATACGTATAAAAATACATAATATATCTCTCCAAACTGCCAATATCCCAAACCCCTCCTTTAGAGTGCAGGCATTGTAATTCCCATTTCCAGGACTCAAGTCCAGTTATATAAAATAACCGGTCTCCCTGAATCCCTTCACTAAATATTACCCTGCTCACCCTCCAACAGTTCATCAGGTCCCAAATACCATTTGTCTCCATTCACTCCTATCTAACAAGCTCACGCACGCTTGCTGGAAGTCCAAACCCCTCACCCACAACACCTCCTTTACCCCCTTCCTCCAACCTTTTCGAGGATGACCCCTACCCCGCCTTCCTTCCCCTACAGATTTATACGCTCTCCATGTCATTCTACTTTAATCCATTCTCTCTAAATGACCAAACCACCTCAACAAACCCTCTTCAGCACTCTGACTAATACTTTTAACTCCACACCTCCTAATTTCCACACTCCGAATTTTCTGCACAATATTTACACCACACATTGCTCTTAGACAGGACATCTCCACTGCCTCCAGCCGCCTCCTCGCTGCTGCATTTACAACCCAAGCTTCACACCCATATAAGAGTGTTGGTACCACTATACTTTCATACATTCCCTTCTTTGCCTCCATAAATAACATTTTTTGCCTCCACATATACCTCAATGCACCACTCACCTTTTTTCCTTCATCAATTCTATGATTAACCTCATCCTTCATAAATCCATCCGCTGACACGTCAACTCCCAAATATCTGAAAACATTCACTTCTTCCATACTCCTCCCCAATTTGATATCCAATTTTTCTTTATCTAAATCATTTGATACTCCTCATCACCTTACTCTTTTCTATGTTCACTTCAACTTTCTTCCTTTACACACACTCCCCAAAATTCGTCCACTAACCTTTGCAATTTTTCTTTAGAATCTCCCATAAGCACAGTATCATCTGCAAAAAGTAACTGTGTCAATTCCCATTTTGTATTTAATTCCCCATAATTTAATCCCACCCCTCTCCCGAACACCCTAGCATTTACTTCTTTTACAACCCCATCTACAAATATATTAAACAACCATGGTGACATTACACATCCCTGTCTAAGACCTACTTTTATTGGGAAGTAGTCTCCCTCTCTTCTACACACCCTAACCTGAGCCTCACTATCCGCATAAAAACTCTTTACAGCATTTAGTAATTTACCACCTATTCCATATGCTTGCAACATCTGCCACATTGCTCCCCTATCCACTCTATCATATGCCTTTTCTAAATCCATAAATGCCATAAAAACTTCCCTACCTTTATCTAAATACTGCTCACATATGTGCTTCAATGTAAACACTTGATGAACACATCCCCTACCCACTCTAAAACCTCCTTGCTCATCCGCAATTCTACATTCTGTCTTACCTCAAATTCTTTCAATAATAACCCAATAATAATTTTCACAATCTCTTTTGTCCCCCTTCCCTTTATATTAAGGGACTATACACACTCTCCGCCAATCCCTAGGTACCTTCCCCTCTTTCATACATTTTTTTTTTTCAACAAACCGGCTGTATCCCACCGAGGCAGGGTGGCCCAAAAAAGAAAAACAAAAGTTTCTCTTTGGAAATTTAGTAATTTATACAGGAGAAGGGGTTACTAGTCCCTTGTTCCTGGCATTTTAGTTGCCTCTTACAACACGCATGGCTTACGGAGGAAGAATTCTGTTCCACTTCCCCATGGAGATAAGGAGAAATAAACAAGAACAAGAACTAGAAAGAAAATAGCAGAAAACCCAGAGGGGTGTGTATATATATGCTTGTACATGTATGTGTAGTGTGACCTAAGTGTAAGTAGAAGTAGCAAGACGTACCTGAAATCTTGCATGTTCATGAGACAGAAAAAAGGACACCAGCAATCCTACCATCATGTAAAACAATTACAGGCTTTCGTTTTACACTCACTTTGCAGGACGGTAGTACCTCCCTGGGAGGTTGCTGTCTACCAACCTACTACCTAGGTTTCATACATTTATTAAAATATAGGAGAGGAGAGTTATTAAATGGAGAGTTAGAGGTATTGGGAAGATGGAGGGAATATTTTGAGGAATTGTTAAATGTTGATGAAGATAGGGAAGCTGTGATTTTGTGTATAGGGCAAGGAGGAACAACATCTTGTAGGAGTGAGGAAGAGCCAGTTGTGAGTGTGGGGGAAGTTCGTGAGGCAGTAGGTAAAATGAAAGGGGGTAAGGCAGCCGGGATTGATGGGATAAAGATAGAAATGTTAAAAGCAGGTGGGGATATAGTTTTGGAGTGGTTGGTGCAATTATTTAATAAATGTATGGAAGAGGGTAAGGTACCTAGGGATTGGCAGAGAGCATGCATAGTTCCTTTGTATAAAGGCAAAGGGGATAAAAGAGAGTGCAAAAATTATAGGGGGATAAGTCTGTTGAGTATACCTGGCAATCGTATGGTAGAGTTATTATTGAAAGAATTAAGAGTAAGACGGAGAATAGGATAGCAGATGAACAAGGAGGCTTTAGGAAAGGTAGGGGGTGTGTGGACCAAGTGTTTACAGTGAAACATATAAGTGAACAGTATTTAGATAAGGCTAAAGAGGTCTTTGTGGCATTTATGGATTTGGAAAAGGCGTATGACAGGGTGGATAGGGGGGCAATGTGGCAGATGTTGCAGGTGTATGGTGTAGGAGGTAGGTTACTGGAAGCAATGAAGAGTTTTTACGAGGATAGTGAGGCTCAAGTTAGAGTATGTAGGAAAGAGGGAAATTATTTCCCCGTAAAAGTAGGCCTTAGACAAGAATGTGTGATGTCACCGTGGTTGTTTAATATATTTATAGATGGGGTTGTAAGAGAAGTAAATGCGAGGGTCTTGGCAAGAGGCGTGGAGTTAAAAAATAAAGAATCACACATAAAGTGGGAGTTGTCACAGTTGCTCTTTGCTGATGACACTGTGCTCTTGGGAGATTCTGAAGAGAAGTTGCAGAGATTGGTGGATGAATTTGGTAGGGTGTGCAAAAGAAGAAAATTGAAAGTGAATACAGGAAAGAGTAAGGTTATGAGGATAACAAAAAGATTAGGTGATGAAAGATTGGATATCAGATTGGAGGGGAGAGAGTATGGAGGAGGTGAATGTATTCAGATATTTGGGAGTGGACATGTCAGTGGATGGGTCTATGAAAGATGAGGTGAATCATAGAACTGATGAGGGGAAAAGGGTGAGTGGTGCACTTAGGAGTCTGTGGAGACAAAGAACTTTGTCCTTGGAGGCAAAGAGGGGAATGTATGAGAGTATAGTTTTACCAACGCTCTTATATGAGTGTGAAGCATGGGTGATGAATGTTGCAGCGAGGAGAAGGCTGGAGGCAGTGGAGATGTCACGTCTGAGAGCAATGTGTGGTGTGAATATAATGCAGAGAATTCGTAGTTTGGAAGTTAGGAGGAGGTGCGGGATTACCAAAACTGTTGTCCAGAGGGCTGAGGAAGGGTTGTTGAGGTGGTTTGGACATGTGGAGAGAATGGAGCGAAACAGAATAACTTCAAGAGTGTATCAGTTTGTAGTGGAAGGAAGGCGGGGTAGGGGTCGGCCTAGGAAAGGTTGGAGGGAGGGGGTAAAGGAGGTTTTGTGTGCAAGGGGCTTGGACTTCCAGCAGGCATGCGTGAGCGTGTTTGATAGGAGTGAATGGAGACAAATGGTTTTTAATACTTGAGGTGCTGTTGGAGTGTG